AGACCTCGCACCAGCTGACCGCGTATCTAAAATTCAAAATGGCCGCCACAACACGAGACAGGATTTTCGTAGCACATCGCGATGGATACGAGAACTCCCTGTGTATCTTGATGCCCCTCGAAAGTATCCTCGCAACGCTGTTCAGGCTTCACTCTAGATTCCACAACAAGTTGCGGCCCACATAACTTCTCCAGACTGAACGAATTATTCGCATTTGCATAAAGCCGGCACTGAATAAATTCTTATGATCACCCCATGATGAAACGTTACCTACGTCTGTAAATAACATTGTAAACTTTAGAAGTTTGGAAGATCGAGTGACTGGCATACTCAACGAATGCAACCAAATAAAGATGAAAACTAACTCTTTGTTCGACTAGTTCGTAGTGAATATTATAGTCCACCGGTTTTGGACAGTGACAAGTATGCTGCATCACTTGCAAATATCACATGCACAAAATAAATATAATAGCACAATAACGATGTACTCGATAGGTACTAATAAAGCACTTTTCGAGTCAAGATGTGTAACAGAGACAAATGGGTAAGAAAAAAATCAGTAAGACTTACCCAATATTGCTGAATTAACGCGAAATAGTTCACCAACTGTTGTACTGTTGTTTTACGGGTTCTTCACAACACAAATGTACATCCGCCAGCTTAGCCTTTGAAGGTTGCCATAGCTTACTAAGTTGATCACTGCAAAACAAAAAGAATTTTACAACATACAACATCGTAATAGTCATTCTAGTACAGTGGAACATATACACAAAGATGAAGACACGGTGTTTTAATCGAGGACAATAAGGGCTACAATACCTGGATGCCTGCCGGCGTTTTGAAAATCTGTCTGCGTGGCGAGAAAAGGAAGTAACTTATCGAATATCTTTGAATGAACCTCGACCCGGAAAGAAATTGTGGTATCATTGTGACTCGGCACTTTCTCGTTTTGTACGTCTGCGAACGTAGCTCGATCGAGCTCGGCGCCTGAAAGCCATCGGTTTACAAACGAGGATGTTATGCAAATCTAGCGTGGTGCATGTCATTAACAAATATGTGCCTGAGTGACCAAAGTACTTGTGTCACGCAAATTAAAATAACTGAATTATTAATTTTTGCATTTTCCTTCATATAGCCTGGTTGTTGGTCCCCAAGTGAATGAAAAATAGCTTCTGAAACATTCTTTTTTGCCTCTTGAGATACTATTGTGACCACTTTGCAATAACAGCTGTATATTAATCAATACGACTCAGTCCTGTTGACGACACAATTTGCTTCAAATAACTTCACAAAAGACCTTGAAATTGGTCTTTTGTGACGAACTCTCAAACTTTGAAACCTTATCGTGTTGCTCAAACAGCCAGACACAGTGTATATCGATCGATGGAATTGCTATTGAATCAGTAAGCTATTTTAATTTTAGAGACGAAAAATCACGCCAGACCCCGGTTAAAACAGCGTAGCACGATATTGACAAATTCATAATGTGTGCACTTGAGGGCTAAACAACGGAACTTAAATACAGCGTCTGTAATCAGACCTACCTCGTGTGGTGAAGGATAATTCTACAAGGAAAGTTGTGCCTTCACTATCTGAGCGCGGTAGTGTATTTGCCCTGAACCTTTAAATAATAATACAGTTGACGACTGGCTAATTAATATGGGTTTACTCCCTGAAATGTGTAAAAAAAAATGTGTTGATTAGGTGCTAAACATTTCCGGTCAAAATTCGCACCTTTTAAGTTTTTACAAACGTACAAACTCTTGTTGGTCCGTTGGCGCTGCAAAATAGCTGCTAAATTAATAGCCTTTTAGCAAGCTGCTTAATTAATCGATCTAAGTAATTAGCTCGGGGATGGGGTCATTAACGGCAAGATCCGAAATATTAAATAACTATTC